CTCTAGGTGATTGTTCATCATTTGTTAAGTACAGCTCATTTTCAAGGATCTGCATCATCAAGAAAACAATGACTATGTTTCAGGGCAATGCGTCTGAGGCTACGCAAAACGACTCGGAAGCAGTCCCACTTCCTGTAAGCTCCAAGAGAAAGGCTAGAGTGAGTATCTTCTTTTTCTATGCCTGCTCATTTTTTTACTAAAATTTTTTTCAGGCTAACTCTTATGACTGCAATACCTGCAACTTTGCTGCTCATAGCAAGCGGAAACGGGAGGTGGATGCGTCATCTGATGACACGGAATGGACGATGGAGTCAGTGCAATTGATAATTTACTTTTACGGATTTTCTGAATAAGTAGACTAACAGCAATGCGTGCTCAAATCTATCAATGCGTGGAAGGAGTAAGTCGGCTCCATCTCTTGAACAAGCTGACGATTCTGACGATGAATCTTTTGTTCGACCTAAAAAGGGTGCCAGCAATTTTGTTCTTTCATTTTCTTTTTATGTTCAGTATAAAAGCCACGTATTTTAGACAAATCATGCCCATTCTGTTGCTCGATATTTTCTACTATGCAGTCTCGTAAACGACATATTATGAGGATGCATCCCGATAGGGCCAACGATGAGGTCATCAATTTGCATATGTATAGATGTAAACCGACGGTAAATTGCCTTTTAAATGCTTAAAATTACCCACTTGTCAATCTTTCTTTTCAGAAAGAGTTACCATTTGCTTGCGATGTGTGTCATAAGATTTTTTCGAACATTTCTTCATTGCATATGCACTGCAAAAGCATCCATGAGGGAAAGAGAGATTTCACCTGCACTGTGTGCGCAAAAAGGTTACAACTACTGATTTTTTTCCGCTGATAGTTTCTGATTTTTCGTCTTATCTCGCCTACCTTCATGAAATCTATAGGGTGTCGCATGTCTTTTAGCTTGTTTTTCTGGACGACCGACTACCCTCTGTTTCACTGGGAATGGCGGTGGAGGGCGGAGCTTCGATTGCTAGTCAAGAGAAATGATGAGGGAGCACTCGCGAGAGAGATGCAGAGCCCAGAGCCCCACCCGCTCTCGCCACTCTTAGTGAAACAGAGGAGAGGCCTTGAACCTGATTCACTCAAGTACGATCTTGGTAATATTTCAGTTACCCGCGAAGATGTGATCTACGAAAACACGTGAAACGTGTTCATATGAAGAATTTGCATGCCTGACA